TCGGCGACAAGACAGGCGCCTTCGATGCACGCATCACCAACGACTTGACGATGCTCGATCCGGAAACGCTCAAAGATTACGACGCCATCGTCATGGTCAACACCACCGGGCAATGGATCAAGCCGCGTGACGAAGACATCGCCAAGCTTGCCGCAGCCGGCAAAGAGATGACCAAGGACGAAGCGGAAGCCATGTTCCGCAAAAGCCTGCTCGACTTCGTTTCCAGCGGCAAAGGTCTTGTCGGTTTTCATGCCGCGAGCGATGCCAACTATCACTGGGAAGAGTTCGGCAAGTTGATCGGCGGTTACTTCGATCAGCACCCTTGGCACGAGAAAGTCGGCATCAAAGTCGATAGCCCCGACCATCCATTGATGGCAGCTTTCGGCGGCGAGGACTTTGCGATTGTCGACGAGATCTACCAGTTCCGCGATCCTTACTCGCGCGATGCTTTGCACGTGTTGTTGTCGCTGGATGTCGACAAAACCAACATGGACAAGAAGAACATCAAGCGCAAAGATGGCGACTTCGCCGTGTCGTGGGTTCGTAGCTATGGCGACGGTCGCGTCTTTTACAGTTCGCTCGGCCATCGCGAAGAGATTTACTGGAATCCCCAAATGCTGAAGTTCTACCTTGACGGCATCCAGTTCGCTCTCGGCGACCTCGAAGCCCCCACCGCCCCCAGCGGTTCGAAGTAGATCGCCCAGTTCCCCTACCCCTGCCCCCTGAAACCTGTTCAAGGAATGCCCCTATGTCGTATCGCTTTGCTCGTCCGCTGCTGACGATGCTGTTTGTGCTGGCCGTCGCTGGGACCTCGTTCGCCGAAGAGAAAGCGAAGCTCAAAGGCTTGCTCATCACCGGCGGTTGCTGCCACGATTACCCTGCCCAAATCAAGATCATCACCGAAGGCCTCAGCCAACGCGTCAACATCGAGTGGGATGTCGTCATCGCCGGCGACGGCCGCCAGGTGAAAGTGCCGGTCTACTTGAATCACGACTGGATCAAACCGTACGACGTTGTCTTCCACAACGAATGCTACGGCCACGTCGACGACGTCGAGTTCGTCGAAGGGATCGTCAAAGCGCACACTGAAAACAACATTCCGGCCATCTTCGTGCACTGCTCGATGCACAGCTATCGCAACGCAAAGACCGACGAGTGGCGCAAGCTGATCGGCATGCGAAGCACCAGCCACGAAGGCAAGCATCCGCTAGACATCGTCACGCTCGAGTCGGATCACCCCATCATGCAAGGCTTCCCTAAAGATTGGAAAGTCGACCGCGGCGAGCTCTACAAGATCGAAAAGACTTGGGACTCCGCCACCCCGCTCGCCAAAGCTTATGGGGTCGACACCAAGAAGGATCACAACGTCATCTGGTGTAACGAGTACGACGGCACGAAGAGCTTCTCGACCACGCTCGGACACTACAACGAGACGATGAACAACGATGTTTGGCTGAGCCTCGTCGCTCGCGGATTGCTTTGGACCGTCGATGGCTTGAACGAAGATGGCACGACGAAACCAGGTTTCGAAGGAACCGGCAAGAAAGAAATTGACCTCAGCACG